GACTCAGATGATCCGGCATAGTACACCTACAGCACCTAGTTAGCCGCGTCGTCATCTAGAGGTGCCAGAGATTGCAGCCCAGCAGGATGATATTATCAGGGGTATTGCAGCTACAGAGGAGGAGCAGCTTGCTCGGCAGGAGGGGATAGTCGAGAGCGACCCCAGTGACAGCTCAGATGAGGACTACCGGGACATACCTCAGATGCCTACACGATGACATGATCATGAGGCCAGCTGCTCCAGTTCAGCTCCACCTGCACCGCAGACACACCCCGCTTTACTTGCCATACTTGAGCGGATGATGCAGGATCAGGCTCGCTAGGCACAGGAGATCGCCGCTACATTTGCACAGTTCCAGACTCGGCAGGATGAGTTCCAGTGCCAGCAGCAGGCGATCCAGCAGCAGCAGCTGGCTATGCAGTAGCAAACACAGGCTCTACAGCAGCAGCAGTAGGCTAGCATCAGCAGCAGCTCCTCATGCAGCAGCAGCAACTTGGGTTCATGCAGCATATTGTGACAGCTATTGGGGCTCCACCGCCATAGCCTTCGCCCCAACTTGGTCAGACTGCCACTACTTCTAAGACTCCAGTGTTACAGCCTACTGGGCTTCAGAGTCAGGGACAGCCACCAGCATTGTTTGCTTCACCTACATAGCAGGTGTCCCAGTATTTTGCTTCGCTAATGCTAGCCCCGCAGTTCACACCTTTTTAGACGGGCTTCACACCGGCTAAGACATCCTCGCTGCTTGTGCCAGAGACCACAGTGTCCAGGAGCCTTGGTGCTTCTTTCAGTGAGTTGACAGGGCAGCCTACTCCTCCATATTTACATGTCCCAGGTCCTTCCACAGTTGCACCTATTACCGGGACTATAGAGACGCTCCCTTCCTCAGTGGCATCATCAGAGCCGGTTGCTTCAGTCATACCAGCACAACCTACAACAGCTCCAGTCCTTGATCTGACCCAAACTGCTATAGCATCGCTTCCAGCTACAGATGGTCAGATAGCTCAGAGCTCCGGATCAGATGATGATGGCACCCAGTTCCAACTCGCTCCTCGTACCTCAGCGCCCGGCTCGTCCGCTGCAGCCCCGCCGACCGACCCTTAGGTTTTGTTGTTTGACGCCAAAGGAGGAGAGGGTTCGAGTATGTTAGCCTTAGGGGGAGCGACATATCTAGGGAGAGCTTAGTTATTATATTAGCTTATCTATTACATTTAGAGTTTTTATGTGTGATATACTATTATGCATTCGTCGTGTGTTTACTTGTTATGCATTAAACTATATTTATGTGATAGTGATATCTACGTGATCGTGATATATGACATGTGTGCTCTCTACTTTGAATTATTTATATGTCATGTCACTTCTGCTATGCTCATTTGCTTTTGCTTCCGCGTTTTACTACGATGCAAATGAGCTTTATTATTTGTACTTATGCTTATTTCATATCTTTTGAGTACATCATGTTGGCTTGGGTCATATAAGCTTGCCTAACACTTTTGTTCTTTTTGTCAAAAGCTTATATGAACCAAGCATGTTAAAAACCTCATCACTTTCACATACTCGAGGTGGTATTGTCATCAATCACCAAAAAGGGGGAGATTGAAAGTATCTAGGCCCCTAGTTGGGTTTCGGTGATTAATGACAATACGTGATTACTATGACTAATGTGTGTTTTGCATAGGCAATTAAGTTAGGTCATGGTAATGGAGATCGATTGGACAATCATGGTGGTCATGCCCCTACGATGGAAATCGTTTCGGTTTTCAAATGATGGATGACAAGGTTAAGGATGGACTAGTTCTAAGTGTCGTTTGGAGTTGAAGAGACACTTAGAGTAGTTTAGGACTTTGTTTTTCCTTTGGCCGTACTATTAAGGGGGGTATGGATGGATAGCTTGACCTAGGTGAGTCTAGTGAGTTAGGTGTGGTGCACACTTGTTAAAACTAGCACTAGGTAGGTCCAAAATAGCCCTTAGATCCAATAGAGCAAATTTCATTCACATATGATCGAGAGTTGGAAGTAAACGGAGGGTCAAATACTGACCGGACGCTGGCGCAGAGTCCGGTCAGTTCATTTGACCAAGGTGTTTTCGTCTGGTGCGACCGGACGCTGAGAGGTGAAGTGATCGGACGCTGAGAGCCAGCGTCCAGTCGACTCCAATAAGGTTCTAGAGAGGAAAAATCATGACTAGACGCGTCCGGTCACACTTTAAACACTGGAGTTCAGGGAGAACTGACCGGAGCATCCGGTCAACATGATCGGAGCGTTCGGTCACCTCGCAGAGGCACATAACGGTTCGTTTTTCAACCCATGTTATAAATACCACCTCCATTCATGTGTGGGGGTACTTTTGCTCATTCCAACAGCTGAGAAACACGTTTGAGAGTGCCAAGAAGAGCAAGGTCCTAGTGAGGTGATTGAGATTTGAGAATCCCAAAAAGAGCCCTCATTAGTGAGATCAAGAGTAGCAAAATATGCATCCACCCTTCTCATTAGGCTTATCGTGGTCAAGTGAGAGTTCGTGCTTGTTACTCTTGGTGATCGCCATCACCTAGACGGCTTGGTGGTGATTGGGAGCTTAATGATCATCCGGAGAGCTTGTGGATGACCCAACTCAAATTGTGAGCGGTTGTGGGTGATTCACCACGACGGAGTGTCAAAGAATCAACCCGTAGAGAGCACTTGATCCTTGCGCGGATTAATAGGGAGCTACACCCTTGCGCGGGTGCTCCAACAAGGACTAGTGGGGGAGTGACGACTCTCCGATACCTCGGCAAAACATCGCCACATTCCTCCTCCTCTTTTTACTTTGAGCATTTACTTTGAGCAATTCAATTCTTGTCATCTACATTCTTAGAATTACCATGCTAGAGTAGGATTGGAACATAGGTTGCAAGTCTATGCGGTAGAACAATTAGAAACATTTTTTAGGCACAAGGGGTTAATTAGGCTAACCGTAGGATTTAATTATTGCAAAGAAATTTAGAATTAGCCCAATTCAACCCCCTATTGAGCATCTTGATCCTTTCACACCATATTGAGAAAAAACAATCTATTTTCCTTAAAACTATCATATGGGGGAATGGGTTAAAAACTTTGCTTCACTAAATCTTCTTTCACATTCCATTACCCCAAATTTTTTTATCAATCCCTTGAAATCATTGCTCTCTCGCTCAAAGAAAGAGGAGAATGTTTCAATCCCATTACCTCACCGAGGTTTTCTTCCATCACAACTTGACTTCCGCTTGTTGCCCGAATCAATCCACCACTGTGTGGCCATAGGTTCACCACTGGGTGCTTGTTGTCGTTAGAATCTCTTCAACCCGAATAGTGAGGCACGAAGGTGGGTGAGCAGGATCGGGCGTCACGCGGGTCGCCACATCGGGAGCCGCACTCCGGCTACCTATCCATGGCGTAACATGAGACCATAGAACTCATTAACATACACAATAAGATCATAAGACAGAAAGAAATTTTAGGGAAGAAGAAATTTTTGCTCTTTAATATTATTTTTTTCTCTAATATTATTTTATTTATATAGTGGATTGGTCCACGTCACAGACTCACCGGGCCCTTAGTTCAAAGGAAGACTTGTAAACCCATCAACTGCTACAATCCAGCCAAGCTGGCTGTACTAGCTGAAAGCTTTGATACGGACATCGGCCTCGTTTGGATTGGGATTATGAATCAGTATTTGACATTGTAGCATTTTCGTTTGTATTTGATAATTATTGTCCAATCATGGCCTAACTAGGCTCAAAAGATTCGTCTCGTAATTTACAATCAAACTGTGTAATTAGTTTTTTTTTTATCTACATTTAATATTCCATGTGTCCAAAGATTTGATGTAATGGAGAGAGAGTGAAAAAACTTACAATACCATCGTTACACTAACGAAAGACTAGACAGTCCTTTCCTCAGCGGTTAACGTTGAATCATATCGTCATAATTCGGATCATTGGTCTCTTAGGCCGGTCATTGCTGAAATTTAAGCAATTACCAAATGCAAGCAATTTTCAATTATCAACATTAGCATAGACAAAAACAAAACAAGCAGACAAACACGCAAAGTTGGCAAGACTTGCCTTTACTCTTGTGGATCTTCAGCACACCATCTGCAATATAATGTCAGGCTTGCTTTGCAAAATTTTAATCGAGGGATGTTCCACCCAGTCTCTATACTTTGCTTATAATGATCCTTCCCATTATTATTAAACAACAACAACTGCAGCCAAGCATTCCACTGCACACGGTGAACCAGCTGTATCAAATTTCAGCAAAATTAGTTGTTTGAATTCCTGTAGATTCTAAAAGTTTATATAATTATTAGTTGTTTGCGTTCCAGTGGATTCTAAAAGTTTATATATTAAAACAATCTAGTGTATTCATTGAATTCTATGTATATATGTGTTAAAATCCAGTAGAATGTAGCAATTTTATGGGATTCTGATAATTTTTTTATCCACATTCATAAAACCCCTTAAGAACCAAACAGGGCTTTTATGTCTGCCTTCCAGCTGATTTCATAAAACACGCGTGAATTCGCTCGAGCCTAAACTCCATACCAACCATGCAATGAACTGCTAACATCTCAGCGAACTTGGTGAACGCAACTCAAACAAACTCAGGTACTCAACCAACCAAACCCAACGCAATTCAGGATACGACTAAGTATGCTCTTGAGAAAAGCAAGTTATTCATAAATGACACAACTTGAGCAAATCGCTTACAAATGATAATCAGATAAGTAGAGTCAACAAGACAAAACTGTATCTGGCAACGCACATCGCCTCATCCCAGCCAATAACACCATTATTCTTCAGCAAAAGCAAACAGCTCCTTCCCTCCTCGCTTCCCCCAGCTCAAGCGATCATAACAAATCTTCCTCCGCGACTGCGTATATGACAATGCATATGCATGCAAAAGATAACTGACAGGCCGGTGCAGCAAACTTCATAGCACACAACCGGCCGAGTGAGCTGCAAGTCGTGCTGGGCTGCCTAGTACCGGTAGTGGGCAGGCTTGTAGGGACCCTCGATCGGCACGCTGATGTAGTCAGCCTGGGACTTGGTGAGCTTGGTCAGCTTGGCACCAAGCTTGCCCAAGTGGAGAGCAGCAACCTTCTCGTCAAGGTGCTTGGGGAGCACATACACCTTCTTCTCGTACTTGCCAGAGCTCCTCTCCTTCCACAGCTCAAGCTGGGCAATGACCTGCATCAAGAATAAATAATTCAGTAATGTGGCATTGCTATCCAATCAGTTTACATATGGTGATACCAAGAAAGATATGGATTCACGTGCTTACGTGCTTACCTGGTTAGTGAATGAGCAGGACATGACAAAGCTAGGATGGCCAGTAGCACACCCAAGGTTCATCAGGCGACCCTCAGCAAGGACAATGATGCCAGTGTTGGTCTCAGGGAACACCCAGCGGTCAGTCTGGGGCTTGATGGTGATGCGCTTGACACCAGGGTAGGTCTCAAGACCGAGCATATCAATTTCATTGTCGAAGTGGCCAATGTTGCAGACAATGGCATTGTTCTTCATCTTCCTCATGTGGTCAACCATGATGATATCCTTGTTGCCGGTGGTGGTCACGAAGATGTCAGCCTCAGAGACAACATCCTCCAAGGTAAGGACCTGAAGACCCTCCATCAGAGCCTGGAGGGCACAGATGGGGTCGATCTCAGTCACAATGACACGAGCACCAGCCTGCTTGAGTGCAGCAGCACAGCCCTTGCCGACATCACCATATCCACAGACCACGGCAACCTTGCCAGCAATCATAACATCTGTGGCCCTCATCAGACCATCAGGGAGGGAGTGGCGACAACCATAAAGGTTGTCAAACTGTTCCAGAGGAGAAACATATCAATATAGTTAATCTTAATAGTTGAATTTTGGTACTAGCAACATGCCAAACTGTTTACAAGAAAAAAGATATTTGAATTATGAGTTCAATATTTGTAGTTAAGAATCTAGAAAATGCACAGCAAGACACTTTCAAGTTTAGGCCAGGTAAGGTACAATGCCTTAAACATGTAAGGATCTACATACGTAGAGACCAAGTAAACAGGGTACAAGATATTTTATTCTCTATGATGACATAGTGTCATCAAATCCACCAAACATGGACGAAACATGCAACTAATGCAACTAATATTAAGGCCCTGTTTGGCAGGGCTTCACTTCACTAGTGAAGCCATTTTTTTTGGCTTCAGCTCCACGAACAGCTCCACCGGTGGAGCTGAAACGGTTTTGGTAAACCGTTTGGCAAAATGGCTTCCCTGTAAGAGCATGTTTTTAGGGGCCTGGAGGAGGAGCCGGGAGAAGCCACTATTTTTGGCTTCTTCCCACCCCAAAGCTCTGTGAGAGCACGTTTTTAGGGGCTTCATCGGTGGAGCCGTTTCATTTTACCCCGTTTGGCAGAAAACGGCTCCAAACGGCTCCTGAAGCCGCTGGAGAAGCCCTGCCAAACGGGGCCTAAAAGTAGCTAACAATAACATTTATTTTGACAACTACGCAACAACATAGACCAAGATCCACATACAACTGCAAACAAAAATGACCAACACTAAATCCTGCATCCCTGTAATTTAGGAGCTATAACAAGTAACTAGAACCAAACATATATTACCAGCCGAATCAGGCTACACAAACAGGCCTAAAGTATCCCGAGTTACTTCGCCGTCAACAATAAATCCCAACAAACAGATCATGTCCAACTGAGATCTGAAACATAGATCCATGTTCAATATAGAGTGCTACTCTGCAGACTTGACGTAACCATCATTCATCCACAAGATATTTTAAGCATAGCAGTGAGATATAAAGCAGCAGCAGCATCAAACAAGTAAATCTCAGACTGCTAATCATGCAGGATCTAGATCCACACAGCAAGAAGGTCAGATCTGAAAGGAAATGGATCCAAAGCAAGGCACGATTGAATCACCTTGCTCTTGGTGACGGAGTCGTTGACGTTAATGGCGGGGAAGAGGAGGGCGCCGGTCTCCTGCATCTGGTAGAGCCTCTTGACTCCGGTGGTGGTCTCCTCAGAGACGCCGACAAGCCTCTCCTTCATCTTGCGGTACTTCTTGGGGTCAGCCTTGAGCCCGTCGCGGATGATGGTGAGCACGATCTTGAACTCAGCGTTGTCGGTGGACTCCGGGTCGGGGATCTTGCCGGTCTTCTCGTACTCCTCCTCAGCCTTGACACCCTCGTGGATGAGCAGCGTGGCGTCACCTCCGTCGTCAACGATGAGGTCGGGGGCGAAGCCCTCGCCCCAGTCGAGGCAGCGCTCGGTGCACCACCAGTACTCCTCGAGGGTCTCCCCCTTCCAGGCGAAGACGGCGGCCGAGTCGCGCGCGATGGCAGCGGCGGCGTGGTCCTGCGTGGAGAAGATGTTGCAGGAGCACCAGCGGACCTCGGCTCCGAGCGCGGTGAGGGTCTCGATGAGGACGGCAGTCTGGATGGTCATGTGGAGCGACCCCGAGATCCTAGCGCCGGCAAAGGGCTTGGACGGGCCGAACTCGGCGCGGCACGCCATCAGACCGGGCATCTCGACCTCGGCCAGCTCGATCTCGAGGCGGCCGAAGTCCGCCTGCGAGAGGTCCTTGACCTTGTACTCCCGCCCAGACGAGGTCTTCTCCACAGAGAGCGCCATGGCAGCGGCGGAGGGAGAACTCGTGAATTGGATCTGGGAAGCAGGGGGAATGGAACGGGAGGAGGGGAGGAGACGGCGGAGTTGGGAGGCTGGGGGTGAGGAGGGTTTTATGGGGAGAGACGAGGGCGCGACACCGTTAATTTGAGGATGCGGCGATTAGCGGCCGTCGGATCTGGGCGGGGAATTGGTGGGGGTGGGTGAGGTGAGGCCATGTGGGAGTGCCGTTGGGGGCAGACCGCCATCGGGGTTTTTGGGGTTAGGGTGCGTTTAGTTCAAAAAAATTTTGGATTTTGGCTCACTGCAGCATTTCGTTTGTATTTGGTAATTAGTGTCTAATTATGGACTAATTAGGTTCAAAAGTTTCGTCTCACGATTTCTCGACCAACTGTGTAATTAGTTTTTTTTTCATCTACATTTAGTACTACATGCATGTGCCGCAAGATTCGATGTGACAGTTACTATGCAAAATTTTTTGGCAACTGAACAGGGCCTTAGCCAGATTTTTTTTTTCATTGATGAGTTGGATGATTATTAGGTTATAAGTAGTAGTGGGGCCACATCCCATTTCAACAAAAAAGAAAAGTTATTACTAAGGCTTGGGCACTAAAACGGGCATGGCTCTTGGAAAGACAGAATGGATGTGGATCTCCGAAAATAGGCCAGTCCAATTCAGCTCAGTCCTTCTCGCCGATGCAGACAGTGATCAACACATAAATATTTATAGTTTTATTGTACGTTGTGATCGGATGTGGCCTAGCACTCAATGACACAGGGTTTATACTGGTTCAGGCAACGTGCCCTACGTCCAGTTTGAGTCAATCGGTGACTTTATTCCTGAGCCCAGGTGCTCGAAGTTTGTTGTGGGGTTACAAACGAAAGGGAGAAAGATAGGGTACAAGAGGTCCGGTCGGACTCTGGTCTGAAGGGCCGAGACTGACGGGAGCTCCGCTATGTGCTAAGTGTTTGAGCGTGTGCTCAAGGTTTGAACCTGGTGGTTCTGTTGTGGTGTGTGAGTGAACTGATGGTTCTATCTATTGGGAGAGAGCGCATCCTCTTTTATAGATGAAGGGGATGGCCTTACAAGTGAGAGAGAGAGTATACGTATGCTAAGTCTTGTTGCCCACGCCGTCGGGTACAAGTTGATTGTAGGCGCCCATAACACTGTTAATGTCAGATGCATGTGAGAGGTTACGTCGTCTTCTTCTGGTACGACAGACGTCGGTGCCTGCCATACTGTTGATGCCTAGAGGCATACAAGGGGTTTTACCGTGCTCGTTCGGTATGGCAGTTGTTGCGGGCGCCCACAACACTGTAGGACAAATGTCGGTACCCACAACAATGTTCTGACATGCCTGGAAGGTTGCAGGGTACTCTTCTGACATGTCATATCGATACTATTCTGTAGGTGTACATGGTATGGTCATCGGTCTTGCGGTTGACTTGAGTGCCCTACCTTACTTGCTCCGTACGTTTCCTGGTCCTCACCGAGTGGGCGTCCTCGGTCGGTTGGTCCCAGTTGGCTCTGACTGTGCCGATCGGAGAAGAGCTATAAGCAGGGGTTCGGTGCGTCCTCGATTGGAGACGCAGTTCGAAGTTTAGAAGCGGTGTTTGGTCAGGCCTTCCGGTCGGAGAGGCGGGCCGGAGTCGGAAGCGAGTGTTGTTTCTCTTTGGCCAGGCCTTCCGGTCGGAGAGGCGGGCCAGAGTCGGAAGCGAGCGCTGTTTCTCCTTTGCGGGGCCTTCTGGTCGGAGATTGGATCGGCCTTTTGGTTTGTCATTTTTAGGTGTTTTGGGCTGGCCCATGAGTTGCGCGTCGTTCGCAACGTCATCTGCTGGGCCGAGCTTTTGTTGGGAAGCCGGTCCATGAGCGACCCCGGGTTTTATGAATCCGATAGGAGCCCCCGAGTGATTTGGGTAGAATCGTCTGGGGGATTTTTGTCTTGACGTTGGGTGCGCACAAGCGCACCCGCAGGTGTAGCACCCGAGCGATTTGGGTAGAATCATCTAGGGGGTTTTTCGTGTTGCCAGTGGGGAAAGTTTCGTTTCGTCAGCGGGTGCGCACGAGCGCACCTGCAGGTGTAGCCCCCGAGCCCTCGGACGATTCGGTCAGAATCGCTAGGGGCGTTTATCAGCGGTCAGTTTAGGGATCGGGCGAGACGGAGTTCGCGGATCCTGGCGACGGGCGCAGCCGAGGCAGTTTTAGGGATCGGGCGAGCTGGAGTTTCACGGATCCTAGCGTCAGGCGCAGCTGAGGCAGTTTAGGGATCGAGCGAGACAAAGTTCGCGGATTCTGGCGTCGGGCACAACCGAGGCAGTTTTAGGGATCAGACGAGATGGAGTCACGGATCCTAGTGTCGGGCGTGCCAAGGCTATTTAGGGATCGGACGAGATGGAGTCGCGAATTCTGGCGTCGGACGTGCCGAGGCAGTTTTTAGGGATCGGGCAAGACAGAGTCGTGGATCCTGGCATCGGACGTGCCGAGGTAGTTTAGGAATTGGGCGAGACGAAGCTTTGTGGATCCTGACGTCGGGCGCAGCCGAGGCAGTTTTTAGGTGTCTTGAGCCCCTAAGCCCTGTTGGACTTGGTAGGGGTCGGTTGAGTTTTGTGCGTTACCCCGTCCGCGGTTTCTCGCAACCGGAGAGGCTGAGCTAACGTCGCTTGCCTCGATGGCTCAAGTGACGCGCTCGGTGAGGTCGCTAACAGGTATGATCAAGTGAAATCCGGGTCCGTCGTTCGTGACAGGGTCGGCATAGCCCTCATGTGACATTCCACTGCTCCTTAACCTACACCCCGGTAGATGCCTGGGTCATTCCGAAGACCGACCTAGGTGGCCCGCTGGCCTCCCCTCGATGTAGATTCTATGGGTTTGGCAAAGGTTAGGATCGAACGAGAAGATTGAGATGACCCTGTCTGCTTCGGGGCAGACTAGGTGAGGGCCACTCGGGGCTCATCTGCGTTTTCTTCCCTAGCTCTGTTTGACGTAAGGCGGCCTCGAGCCCTTCGTGGGCCAACCTTCGAACCCCGGTCAGTCGTTGCTCATGTTGAATGAGGCAACACGGAGCGTTATGATGCATTTAACTGCATATGCGATGCCTTGGATGTATGGAATGAATGAATGCGTGTATAGATGAATGAATGATTATATAAAGAAATAGTGGGGGTTGGTAATGTTACCATGATGACTCGAGTGACGGGGTTTGAAGAGCTCCAATCGAAAATGTCCGACGGGGATCCGCGCTCGTCATTCATGATAAGTCGGCATGGCCCACATGGGGCATCCCTTTGCTCCTTTCCTGTCTTTTGGTGTTTTCCTAAGCCATCCGATTGACACAGGAAGCCCGATGGTCTCTCCTTGGCGGAGATCCCGTAGTTGGGCCTTTCCAAGTCTCGCCTAGGAAGGCGGAGGGCCGCCTGCACGTGGTGACGCTTTGTTTCTCACGCCCGGTCGTGCGGTAGTGGTGGGCCATACCTAGGCCACGTCCCATCTGACTAGGCGTCGTTCCGTCAGGCAAGGTGTGTTCCATCGGTCAGGGTGCGTCCCGTTGTTTCCCATCCGCATTGAATGGGGGAGAGTTTTTCACCCCAATCCTTTGCCCTTCTTCAACTACTGCATCTCCTCCTTAAATAGGGGAAGGGAGAGGGAAAGGAGAACTCACAGACCCGTTCATGATTTCGGAGCAAAATGTCGAGCTGGAGGTCATCCAGCGTAGATGAGGTGGTGCCGACCGAATTTGGCCGAGAAGGGGTTGCTTTTGTCGAAGGAGGTGGCGCACTGGAGGGTACTGCACGTCGCCGGCTTCGTCACCATCTATGAGGCTTTCGTCAGGATGGAGCCGCATGTGGACTCCTTCTGGCGAGTCTTCTCCGGGCGAGCCTTGTCGGAGAGGAAGACGCTCGAGACTGTGCTGGTGGGAGGTGTCGCCCTTGCAGCTGCTCAGGTTGGCCAGTTCATAAAGTTTGATGAGACATCTTCTAGCCACGGCGGGTAGCATCCCTGCCTAGGAGCTGCCTCAACTGCATGAGAAGGTCAGGAGCTCCATGCTCTTTTGCTAAGCATCTATGGGTGCGATGCCCTTGAGGTACCCGTTGCGCTCGCCGAAGTCGAGGGAGCGGAACCGGGTGGAGCCCTTGAGGTACCTGTTGCGCTCGCCGAAGTCGAGGGAGCGGAACTGGGAGGGGCCCTTGCAATGGTGGTTATGTCCGATGGCATGTGTCGTGGCCTCTCCTTTGGCATCAGTCGATGCCGCCGAGCGGCCACAGTAGTATTTGGAGTAGAAGTAGTCAGCAAATGTAATCGTTAAGTTTGTGGGGGAGCCCCAGTATGAACAGTTTTTGTATCAATGAATACATCAGTTCTATTTTGTGATAGAATCACTATCCGTTCCTTATTTTTTATCCTATCATAGCTTTGTTTTTATCCTTTCTTTTTTGCACCTGCCCGTTCATTCCGTAGGCTGCAACTTTTAAGAACCTGGGCATGGCCCGCGAGGCTCGGCTGCTCGTAACCATAGGTCATGGCGGGGTGCGCTCGGTCGGGAGTAAAAACAAAGTCATGTAGGGTAATCAAAGGAATGGATTGCGCTTTCGTTCGGGCAAAAAGTTTTTACCATGTGATAGTAAAAAAGAGAGGTAGTATTTAGTATTATACCCTCATGGAGCCCCCGAGCGACCCGGGCTGAAAGTGTTCAAGCTGGGGTGCTTTATAGGAGCAAGTGTTGAATAAAAGCGGTAAGACCGAATTTAGGGGAAAAAATGACGTAGCTGTTCAATGTTCCAAGTGTTGGTGAGAACGTTGCCATTGTCGTCCTTTAGTCGGTAGGCGCCCGGTCGGATCACCTCGGTCACCGTATAGGGTCCTTCCCATGGTGGAGAGAGTTTGTGTTTCTCCTTCGTTGATTGGGTCCTCCAGAGTACGAGATCACCGACTTCGAGGATCCTCCCCCTGATCTTCCTTTCGTGGTACCTACGGAGAGTTTGCTGGTAGCTAGTGGAGCGGATGACGG